AACTTCGGTACGCGAACCACACACGCACACACGCACACACACGCACACACACCCGCGCACACAACCACACACACACACACACACACACACACACACACGCGCGCACACACGCACACGCACACGCACACGCACACGCACACGCACAAGCACACGCACACGCACAAGCACACGCACACGCACACGCGCGCGCACACACGGCTGCTTACTCTGTTTTTTTTTCAGTTTATTACTAAATAATAAATAATGGGTTAAAACTACATTAATTACATAAAACTGACATTAAATACACGAAACTACATATTTAACACCATATCCATACGTTACAACGCGTTCCTGATACCGTAACGTAGGCCTACCTTGTTGCAGGCTGCATCCCCATATGACCCATCCTGCATTTCCGAAGCTGAAGAGTCCTTTCTTACTAGTGATTACTTTATTTTGATGGAAACATTCTGTTTTCCTGTGAGTATACCACAACAGCGGGGCCATCATGAGTCCAGAAGCTAAAATGCTTACCCAGACGTTCCATCGGAATGGGTCAATAAGCACCTGAAAATGCAAGCATCAACTCTGTACTGTGTTATCACTTTCTGATCACGGATTACTGATTAAAGCAACTTTAACTATAAGGACAGCAAATATCAAATTTATAGCAATATCAAAAATGTACAACGACAAAATGCTGTAAAGGAAAATTGAAATATTTGAATATTCAACATTTTGCTAACTGAAAACGTGTATTCATGATCATTAGCCCTGCCAATAACAGTTAAGACCAGCATGACAGTCACATGACGTCATGACGCACGAGTCACACAGACGAACATGATAGTTACACGGCATAATGACGATGAATTTATTTGGCAGGAAAAATGCAAGGAAATTCAATTATTATGTTTGAAATGTTGCAACAAAGAAAGACGTATGTCGTTAAAAGAAAGATCAATCATGAACAAAATAAATGGGTTTTTTGAGGTATTTGCTCAGTATTACGGTGTATATATACAATCCATCGATTATATCGCCTTTTACAGTCAGTGACGTTTCTGCGGTATAACAGGTTTTTCAGTTTACTTCGTTCGTACCAGAGCGCGGTTTCTTCGTTGCGGCTTGCGGAGAGCAAATGTTGACGGCTCGTTGTAGATTGCAACCGTGAAATCGACAGCCTGCTCTCGCGTAATGGACATCGTGAATATTGATGCGGCAAAGTCAATCTCCTAAAATATAAAAAAAAAGAGACGCATTTACAACGATGTAAAACCTCCGATCTCCGAAAATCATCCATTTGCTTCTTCGCTCACTGCCTCCACTCTCTTCCCTTCTACCCTTCCTCTCGCTCTCTTTCTCTCTCTCTCTCTCTCTCTCTCTCTCTCTCTCTCGCTACCTTTATTGCGCATTGGATCTGCGTCTGCGTGCGTGCGTGCGTGCGTGAGACGTACGACGGACGACGACCCATGGCAATAGCTCAGCTTGACGATGTCAAGGTGAGCTAATAAATGAGAAGCCAGAATAGTTTTCCATATCTTGGATATTATATAAAAACTATTACGACAGTACAACGTAGAATTCGTATATGCATGCAGCAATTGTTGCTTGACAATGAGTGCGTAGGTGATTGAATGATTTGGCACATACGCTTGCGTGTATGTATGCTGTGTCCGCTTGATCAACCACGTTGGGTGACAACAATTTTATTAGAATGAGAGTTTACCTGTCTGTCTTAAGGAAATCTCGATATATGGCGAGTTGAAGATAGGTTTCGTCGACTAGGTAAACATAGCCCCCTGTTCGCACACGTTCCAATCCCCTGTCGATATCGTAGTCAATCAAAGTGGATGTGTCTGTTTCAATCATTTGCCATAACATCCCGTACACGGTGTCCTTTTCGGAAATCTAAACAAAAGCAGAAATATTACAAGGAAAATTGAATTAATAATAAGACCTCTTCCGCAACCGTAATCAGAAATTAAAAAATAATATAGGTTCCACCATTTTGCAAAATTTATTGTAGACTTAATGCCGAAAATCTTTAAGTTCTTGTATACAATCAGATCGTTGTACATAGTAGCTATATCGACATGTGTGCACGTTGCTGCCACGATGGGACGAATGTATGAGATTACAACTAACGCCATCTCAGTGTGAGTTTAGCGTGGGCTACATGCGGCGACGCATGAGGAAAATAGGCGAGCTCAAGTCCACCGCGTTCTCGCCCACCTTATAAAGCGAGTTTTTTATTGAGCCTAATTTAATTAATTAATGTTTAAAATTTTAATTCATCCTAGATCTTTCTGAAAGTTTATTTTTAAATTATTATTTTTTAGTTCCTGTGCTCTGT